TTCGCCAACCTGCAAAGAGCCTAGCAGTTGGTGAGGATGAGTATGATGCCAAGCATGAGGAGAACGAAGGTCAGCGTAATCTGCAACTCTTCCCACAGTGCTTCAGGCCTAGAAATTTATCAATGTTAACAAAGAAGACAAAAACGATTAAAAAATTAAAATTAATCCTATTAAATTCATTTAATTGATGAATTAAAAAGTAAAATTTTTAATTTGTACAGGTGGCATCCACATAATTTCCACCTCATTTATAATATTATTTGTATAAAAAATATTCAAATGATTCTGTTAGTTAACCTGCCACATCAGCAAAAATTTAACGGAGGGACTAAAAAGGAGCCGGATTTGTGAACAGTAAGGACCAAAAAGGGGATTTTTTTCGGTACAAAGACTAAAAAGGGGCTTTTTCCTATAGTAGAGGGACCAAAAAAGGTATTTAACCTTTTATATTAATAAATTTATTGCTTATCATAACAATCATAATTTATTACTTATCCTGTAGCCATGAATTCTGAAAAAATAACTGTCAAGAAGATGTAACGACGTCCCTTTAGGCAGGTCAAAAGGTATATATAAATTTATTGCTTATCATAACTGTCACGCCCCAAAACCCAAATTCGAGGTGCGGCAGACGCCGTGCACTCGTGAGACGAGTCCCACAAATGCACAAGGCTCGGAACTTAATCAAATCACAATCTGATACCACCAAAATCTGAAGATCAACTTATAAAATTCTCTCTGATATCATAAAATCTCCAAATACAAGATCATGATTCATATCTAAATCTATGCTCAATTTACACGATGGCTAGCCTTCTAACACGTCACTTCCCGTGGCTTCCCCGTCCTCGGTTTCACTTCCTGAAATGGTGGACAGGGAAAACTATAAGATAAACTCAGTAAGTAAAATATGGAGTGCCCCTTATCAAACTTAAAGCATGCCAACAAGTACAATCACGAAAAACAGATACGGGTACGGAAACGAAATAGACGTCTCCTCTATAGGTCACGACCAGCGTTTATAAACCTCCCACTGGCGGGCACACGATTACTAGTGTATAATCCCCACTAGTAGGGCCACGAGCGAATCGGTTCTATCAATAACATGTCGACATGTGCTAGCGTTTATAAACCTCCCACTAGCGAGCACACGAATAACATGACCACATCGGAGACAAAACAGGCAGAAGTTAACAGGAAAATCACAATTCACAATCACTTTCAAATCATCAGGACAATCACTTAAATTTCAAGTAGGCATGCTCAATTTAGTGAAAAGCATAAAACATTTCACTTCAAATCAGTCATACTTGTGTAAAACAGGTTTAGTCCCGCCACCACTTCAAAAATAAATCAAAACATGCTTTTAAAATCAAAGGGCATTACCATAATTTACTTACCTCACTCGCATAAAACCGAGCACTCAATCTCAATGCTAACTGACAGAACGATCGGGAACCTAATCAAAATACCTCAGAATTAATATCGGACTATCACACATTCAAACTGAAATCATCATTAGGATCACTCCTAATCACAATGCTATTTCCATAAATCTCCACATAATCAAATATCTCCAAAATCGTTCTCATATCACAAACTAATCATTTAAATCCCCGTTAATTGTTGGCCCTCGGTGTGTGAACAGTGTCGGTGAACAGTACCCGACGTGAACAGTAACTCCACTCCCACAAATTGGCCAAAACACTAACTAATCTCACGGGATTTTCCTCCAAAAATCACATAGCAGTCAATTAACACTCAATCACATAAATCTCACTTGAATTAAGCAACAAAACACACTTAAATCCCTCTTAATTGCTACCGGAATTTCCCCATTTTTTCCTAGCCAAATTCGGACAACACAGCCAGCAAGAAATGGACAAATTCGAGCTTAAAGGAGTGGCCATCATACCAGAATTTAGCAGCTGCAGAACCGGGCCTAGCAAGGGGGAGAAGCCGGCGGCAGTGCAGAGGAAGCTCACGGGAAATCTACCCAAAATTGGAGAACCAAGAGCAATTAAGGTAGACCCAAGTTAATTCAAGCAAGAACAGAGGGATTGGTAGCTGTTTCTTACCCAAAACCGGAGCAAATCACCCCCACAAAGCAGGAGCAGCCGGCGGTGAAGGAGCAGAGCAAGGCAGATCCGGAAGCTTCCTGCAGGGGGAAGAGATTTCTGGGTTCCAAATCAGGTTCTAAAGCAAGAAGGAAGGAGAAATCTCCAAGCTTTTCCACCAATTTTCCAAGGCATGGCTAGGTTCCTCTTTGTTTTTCTTTGGGTGGCTGCAGCGGGAAGAAATGAGAAGAAAAGCAGAATCGGGCTGGAGAAGAAGAAAGAAAGAAAGAAAAAGGAGAAAAAGAAAAGAAGTCATCCTTATCCAAAATCTTTCCCTCTTTAAGTCCCTCAACTTTCAAACTTTTGGCTATTAAGCCCAAAACAATATTTTCTCACACAAAAACCCTTACTTAAATGCTAAAATAGCATAAAATTTTGGGTTATTACAATAACAATCATTTTATTGCTTATCCTGCAGCCATAAATTTTGAAGAAATAACTGTTCATAAAGAAATAATTGTTCAAGAAGATGTAAGAACATCCCTTTAAGCAGGTCAAAAGGTGAATATAAAATGAATCAATCTTTTTCAATATTAATATTAATAATTAACAATTAATATCGAGAACCATATTATTATAACTATCATATTATTAATTTT